ATAACACCCATAGAAACACAGTCCCTGAGTGTACAATAACTGGATGTTACCTGGGAGAATCTCCAGTGAAGGCTCTGAAATTACATCAGTGTAATTAAGGGAAGCAACCGCCCCAAGTTAAAAATAAGAAAAGAAGATAGGTGAAAATAAATGCTGACACACAGGTCTCTCCAATGAAAGTGTTTTGCTGTGAAAGAGTGAAGTGAAAGCTCCCCACTCCCCAGGGAGGCCTATTACATGTGCCATAGCACTGCTGCCCGGTACAAGCGCAGAAAGGCAACCTCCCTTCCGTGCTTTTAACTTCCACTCCACAGTGTCTATCAAACCACCTTCCAGACAGAATTTTTAGAGCATGGAGGCCCTGACAGCCGAAAGTAGGAGGACTGCAATTTCCCTCAAGTCCTCTTTTAGGTGTTGCAAGTAGAATCTGTTACTAACAGATCTTGAAATGGAATGGCAAAAGGCCAGGCTAGCTAGAGATGTTTGGAAAACGAACATTGCTATTGCATAATATTGTGAAAACTGAGATTGCTATTTACAGAGTGCTTACACTGTAAGATCAGAAGCTCTTCCACATGAGATTGTCTGTATTTCAGTACTCTCACATACACACTGGGGATTTTATTGGAACAGGATTCTCCAAAGACAAAGAAAAAGTCCGAAACCAAACAGGCTGTACAGAGGTGGAAGCTCCTGTAAGAAAGGGTGAGAACAGTTTCCTCCTCCCCATTGCAGTACAATCTCAAATCAACTCTTCAGCAGAGACACAGGAGCAACCAACTGCTGGTTTCCTTGTAGATCTTGTGATCTGAATCAGTCATAACATCCCTCCTCATTTGAAGCACAACAGACCAGAATAACAGCTATGAGAGCTCATCAGGACATCTCTAGAGATGAACAGCCACGAGGAACGGCCAGGCGGGACAACACCACCAGCATTCTGTGCCCTCTGTGGCACAGAAAGAACAAGAAAATGAGATAGGAACATCAAAGGCCTTACATTCACTCAAGCGACCGAGGACCGAAGTCCAAACTTCGCCTTGTAGTAGAGCCTCCTTCCAACAACAAGTTTTTATATGAACATTTTTATGTATCTCAGCTTTTTGTGGGAACATTTGATCAGACATAATAGTAAAGGTTCCTCAGTCCAGTGGGAGAGGCTGCACTCCAGAGTCATCAACAGCCAGTTCTCAGGGCATCAGCTGAAGCTGACCTCATGTCCATGTTCTCTACTATCCGGAAAAGGGTACTGATACTTGCTTGGCCCACACATCCCTAACACATATCCAGGCTGTTCTCTCTGATTTCCTAGGGAAGCTCCTAATGTACAAACTGAATTAAAAAAGTAAAGAGTTTTAGCAAGGATTAATACTGGATACAAAAGTAGGACATACTGCATCTTATGGCCTTCCAACCTCTTTCTGGTAGCTGTGATGGGGACAAGTCAATAATTAATATGAAATCTCTCAGACTTTACTGCAGCACACCCATGACATAAAACATGATTATCCTCTGCAGAGAGATAGGAGACAGACCGAGATAGGTGAGGTACAGCCCCAACCAGAGTTAGTCCGTTTAGGGCACTGCAATAAAAGTGCAGAGAATCTGGAAGAGAAAAACTGGACTTACGAGGAGAGACTGAAGCCATATTTAGACCAGTTGAGAAAAAAGTATGAGGTCTGGGAGGAGGAGGTAATAGGTTTCAAACATGTAAAAGGCTGCTGCAAAGAAAAAATAAACATTCCAGCTTCCAGGTCTTTTGAGGGCAGGACAAGTAGTAAGGATTTGACTTTTTTTCCCTGTTTTGAAACTTAGGTTAAATATTAGAAAAAAGTTGTAAAGATAAGGTCAGTTCAGCAACACAGCAGACTGCCTGGGGAGGCTGCAGAAGCCGCACTGCTGGGGCCCTTTAAGAACAGGTCAGCATCCTAGAAGGGCACAGAGATGCACTAATGTAAATTGATGCTTCCTTAAGGCAGAAGACTGACCTCTTGGCATGCCTTCCAGTTCAGGATTCAAAGAGGAATTCAACCCCTTAGGGCAATCAGTAGGGAACAACCTAGACCCCTGGAGCCCCAGCCTGTCCTCATAATCAAGGTACTACCCTACCAGCTACCAACCAACTGCATCTTCATCTGCCTCCAAAGCATGGAAATGGAACAACGTTCCTACTGCAGTGGCACAGCCGATAAAACCAGAGATGGCACAAAGCAAAGCGCCACCAGTGACGACCACCTTGCAGCACACTGGGCTGACAGCAGCAGCAGGACTCAGTTCGGGTACGATGTAACGCTGAGGTATGTCGTCATGTCTCCAACATCAGCCACCTCTCCTGGGGTGGCTGCCTGCTGCCATACTGACAGCACTACGCAGGGGTCTGTTGAAAAAGATTAGGCCAGCTACTCAGTCTACTGTCACTCTTCTGCCACTCTTCAAATTCTAGTGAACTTTATCTTCAGGACAAAACTATCAAGTAGATCGAATACGTAATGAAAATAAAACCACACCTGAATTAGTCTTATTTTTAAGGAAAGTGCAAGGACTCCAAATACTGACAGGCTTCACGTTTTTGGGGACGATATAAGTTTCATGTTCCTTCCATACGTTTTACCTAGTTTTTGCATTTTGATCAACTTAAATGATTTTCATTTTCCCTTTCTAGTTAGCTTGCCACAGGCTAGCACTGCGTTACTAATGAGAACGCTACAAGCAATGGTAAAGTAAAAAAGATTCTCCAACCAGATGCTTACATCTTGTCCCGTGTTCCTTAAAAGATTGAGGGCTTGAAATCCACCTTAATTAGAACAATATCCCCCACGCACAACTAGAGGAAAGGTTCCTAGAAATATTTTGATTAACACAGAGCTTAGTTACCTTTCCTCCCACATGTTTTACAACTGCGAATGTGCATGTAATTCTTTGCTGCAGTGAATGCAAACTTGCCAACATCCTTCCTTTCCACAGGCCCCTTTTTTGTCAGTAACCAGTTTATTTCACGCTCAGGAGCAGCACAATGCTAACTCCCACATTTGCTTTAAAAATCAAATATAATCAAAGATCAAAAAATCTCTTTCTGTAAATTTATCATAGATTCAAGCTGAAGAGGATTATTGCATTTAATACACACATGTAACTGAAACATGACAGCCTAAAGACATAGAGACTTCTACCAAGAGGCAATCTATTCTCTTCTCCTCTCCACCTCCACTCCCCCTTTGCAAACCCTGTCATTTCAGTGCCCACAGAAAAAAAAATTAGCAGACCAAACGGAACCGCAGGATTTTTGTGGGAGTAATGTACAAGCCTCTTTTCCAGCCTGTAAAGCTTTGAACTTGAGTGTTCAAAAATACCTTGAAGAGAGCACTCTGGAGCAGAGAGCTCCTGGATGTCGCCCTCAGCACTTCCCGAAAAGCAGCACAGACCAGCGGCACTGCAGCCTTAGCTGGGGCTCACCAGAAAAATGGCCTGAAGCTCTGATTTTTGGTACAAGCGTCAGAGCCTCCTGCCTATTTCTGTCAGCCAGGAATGTTGCAGACTAAAAAACTGCCAGGATACAGTTCCTTCTGGTGAGGGGTTCTCCTCTTGCTCCATCTTTTCTAATCTCTGGACACACACACAAAGCATTCAGTCCTGAAGGCCACAGGTCTGTTATACAACCTCTATTCTTTGTTTCAGCATTTTAGCAGGCTTTTCCACTTACAAGTTTCCTGAAAGCAAGGGTGGATTAACGAGGCTTGGAGTTGCTTTCCTTTCTTATTGAAGATCTACACCCCCTCATTGCAATGGTGAGAAAGGAAGAGTGAGTTAGTGCATCTGCCCTCCAGTGACCCCAAGTATCTTGCACAACCGCAATATATTTGTCTTTGTGGTTGGGAAGCAGCATAGAAGTGTGCAAGACGCTGGGAGGGACAGGACAGGGAGTATCAAGTAATAGTAAGATGACAGATTAGCTCAAAGGCCTGACAACTAACAAAGGTCTGGTTGCTGCAAGCACTTTCCATTGTCCACTATCGACCAAACAATCACTGCTCTTGCACAGCACAGATAATCAGTGCGTCACTCCCATAAATAGCAGCGCATCCTGAAACACTGACCTAATACTTTTCCAATAGTTACAAGACCAGACTTTGTGTTCTTTAGCCAAAGGTCAGTTGCTCCCCAAAGTGTATTATTTAAAAGGAAATCAATCAAGTTTAAGTTTCTGAGCAAATGGAAGGGTTCTGTGTTTGCCTGGCAGTGGCAGAAGCAGCACAGTGGCACCGCAGGAGAAGGGCTGGAGGAGAGCAAAAGCATTAATATTTACCCAGTCACAAAAAAAGCCATTCGGCCATACTGTATTCAGCATAACAGCACACAAAACAGTGTAGAACTTCGACTCTACACTGCTTTGTCCAACAAAGCCAATGGAAATTTAGTTTTTATATCTGTTTCACAGAGACTGGAGGTTTAATACACACATACACATGCTAATTACAAGCCAGGGCCAAGCAAGAACTTGCTGTCATACACTTAGGAGAAAGCAGTTTGATGCCACGTGGTAGGTTTTTATTTCACACTAGAGCTAGCTCCAGGCAGAAACACACATCCCCAGTGAGAGCCACCTCTTCATGTCAGACCCACAAAGCCTCTTCCCAGGGAAGATGGGCAGGGCCATGCTACATACACAAACCCAAAGAAACGGCCGACTGCGATGGATGAGTGTTTCATCTCTGCACCATGTAGTATCAGAAAGTAAGAGCAGAGTTCCAAAGGCTGAAGAGCTTTGTTTCAGTTAGCATGTTTACAGCGCAAATTATTAACTAAATGAGTTCTTGTTTGCAGAATAAAAAAAACCCACAGCACCTTTGTGGGCCACTTCTGCACTACAACCGCATCATTACCTACGACACAGAACATCATATTCTTCAAGTTTTGAAAGATTCAACACCACTGGACAAACTGCAATTTTGTCCACTAGAGTGGACCAAATACAAACCACAAAAATACAAAAAACCACTTACCAAATAGAAGCAGTCTGGAGTTTTGCTGCAGGCAACAGGTCAGCTGTCGACTAAGCAACATTGACGCCATTTTATCTTTTCTTTACTCAAAAAGATTCAATCTCGAGAGACTTCTTTCTGGCTGATGTTCTGGAAAAAAGAAAAGCTAACACTTATTCATGTCGCTATGGATGCAGCCTCTATTACTGTGCCATTCATTTCAGCTTCCCCTTTCACTAATTTCAATCCAAAGAAACTGAAAGCATGCTTTGATGGATTAATGCTGACATTCAGAGCAGTCTCAGGACCGAGACCCAAATCTGATGCTAGGTCTTGTTGAGGCAAATGACTTCTAGGCTAAATCTGTATCTCCCAGCTTTACTGGGGCCAGGGGGTAAAGATCAATACCTATTTTCCCTTGCTCTTCTTCTCTGCTTCTTCTATGTATGTGGACTACGTTGAACTTTTTAAAAAAATGTTTCCAGTCTCTCAAGCCTGTTATTTCGATTCAGCCTAAGTTTATGAGCTAAGCCTCACCCAATACAAAAAGACAGCAGGACAAGCATTAGGAAATAAAAGAAAATCAGTCATCTGAAAAAACAGTTTCTACCAATTAATCACATCTCTCTGAAGAGAGACTGTGAGAGCTGGGATTGCGCAGCCTGAAGAAGGCTCAGGTTGCATCTCATCAATGTGTAATAAACACCTAATGGGAGGGAATAAAGAGCGAGCTAGGGTCTTCTCAGTGGCATCCAGTGACTGGGTAAGAGGCAATGGGCACAAACAAATTACAGTAAGTTCCATCTAAACACAGAAAACCCCTGGACAGGCCGCCCAGAGAAGGTGTGGAGTCACCATGCTTGGAGATATTCAAAACCCAACTGGACATGGGCCTGAACAGCCTGCTTTAGGAGATGCTGCTTGAGCGGAGGGTTGGACCAGACGACCTCCAGAGGTCCCTTCCAACCTCAACCTCGAAAGAACTCTATTTAACAAATAAGGTCTAAGAACGGAGCTGATCTTCCAGCAGAAAGAGATCACAGCTTACTGCTTGCATCATTTCTATGCCAACCATAAAATATGCAAACAGATGCCGATGACTAGATGCACGGAAGCAGTTGATCTATTTGTACCATGATAAGAAGTATCTCTTACCCAACACTAATGTATCAGAAGTTTAATCTCTATAGTCTTTAGGCAAGGTATCATTTGCTTTTCTTCATGCTTGAGCTTTTTCAAAACTAGCAAAATAAAACAAAAAACTCCTTGCCTACAGAGATCTATTAATTCACGGACCTATTACTCAGGTACAAAGAAAACTCCCTGTGCCTTCCCACATCACTGACACAGCACTTGGTTTCACTTAGTTTGAGCTGAGTTCAATTTAAAATTCAAGGCATTTTGAAATCTGCCAAGGTGAGCAAACACTTGCACAACATTTGTGCGCACGATGGAAAAAGCTAGATCAGCTTTGTAATGTTTTGGCTCAGAAGTGTAGAGGGAACTAGTTAATTTTTTTCAGAATAGAGTAACTTCACTTTTAAGATAAGATGAATTTAATTAATTCATTATTTTTTCACTCTCGGCTTCTTTCTTTAGTTTAGTTCTAAATTTGCATAATCAACGCACAAAGAAATATCCCAATACCATAAATTTCTTATCTCATGACCATCCTCTAGCAAAAAACAAATCCAAGTCTAAGTCAGGGAGACTACCACTGTGGAAAAAAAGCTGTTAAAGGGTGAAACAGCCCAGCAACTCTCACAATGATTAACCACCTTGATTGGTGTCCTCTGCTCAGAGCCATTTATCTGGTTTGTCCTTCTGCAATCTACAATTCCCTCCTTAAGTTTGCTCTGCAAAGTATTGCTTTTTAAAAGTCTCCAGGAGCCTGTTAAGGGGCTACATGAACATAACGTTGCAGGAACTAACAAATGGAGCAGTGCAAACGTACCTATGTCAGAAGGCTAAAACGACCCACCAAGGCTCGCTGCGTTCTTCTCAACCCCTTCAAGTCATCTCCCATGGGTGTTTTGCTACAAATTGACTAACCTGCCTTCCCCTTCCCCGCCTCTTCACTTACAAATCAAACACACCTTTCAGTCACGCTACATGGCTGTACCCACCAGCGTCCAGGTTTCCCTTCAGCGGTACCTACGCTTCCTTCCCTAGGTGAACCACTCCTATGGTTTTGCTCACAGAATGTTATTTTATCTTTTACCTACATGTACTGTTTCTCTTAAGTCCTTTAATGGTTAAAATACAGTATTCATAAAAGGCTCAAAAGGATATATGGAAATGGTACTGGCTTTCTGAAATGCTTGTGGAAAAAAATTACTGCAAGAGGTTTAAAAATAAAGTAGCTTAGCCCTAATTTTCCTTGACAGTTGTTACATAAAATGTTTTACCATTTTCTAGTCCAGAGTCAGAACAAATAATGTAATCTCACATGTGAGTAAAACTAAAATCAACTTCTTTTCCAACTCCATTACACACACAAATTCTCACAGGAGACTAGATGATGTGATTGGTATACGTGTCTAAGCACATGTTATTTTGTTATCATCATAACCAATTGAATTTTGCCTCCATACTTTACCTCTTGATCAATTCCCACCAGCCTAGCTTGTTCTAGCACTGCAAGCAGCAGCAGCAGCGCAGTTTGCAAGGCAGCAGAAATTAGCTCTTGTACACGTGTCAAAACCACAGCAAAGCCACACTCCATTACCACTGCTGCTCTGGAGCGACAGCATTCAGTTCCATGTTCTTCAAAATCTAGGCAAAATACATCCGCCGATTTCAGCTCTCAGACTGTAAAGGCGATGTGAAGGGCAATGTTTGCATTAAATTTGTCAGTAAATGCCAGCTACCTTAGACCTCAAAGAAGTGAGACTTTTCCCAAAAGACAGATTCATAAAAGTCGTCCCTAAATATCTTCCCTCTAACAGCAACTGTCTGAGCCGGAGAAGGCCATCGTTACAGATGACTGTACAAAACTGCTATTCTGAACTGAATACATTAATTCAATACATTAATTTTGCAGATATATTTGCAAACACATTTGCATATATTTTTGTAGTAATTTTGCATTTCGTAAACATGTGCATTGGCAATGTCACATTCTTTTAGCAAGAAAAATTATTTTCAAAGAGGAAGCTCAGTGCAGTTTATGGAGCACATGAAACAAAGTTATGTGTATGTTTTAAATGCACACTGTGAACCTGGATGTATTTTTTTATAAAACAGCAGCTCTTAAAATTCTGTACTGAGTGATTATTTCTGACAAGCAAAATTAGTTACTAAGAACGACAACAGTCATTCAGCAGCAGTAGCCTACTGTGAACACAGAAGGATGCATTGTTTCTGTGAGCTAACAAGATTATGTTTCTTAGGGGAAACTCCTGGAAAAATAAAAAAACCTAGAGAGATCTCAACTTTCAGGGAGGCTTGATCCAGATAAGAGTGAAAATTTACAAACTCCCGGTTTAACATTCTCATTCGTAGCAGAGAAGCTAATGCAGCATGACGGCCGTGCTTCAGCTTGCAGCTTGCAAAAACCTGCCTCCGAAAGCTTCCTCGGGATAGATGCAAAGGTAAGAGGCGAAACACAGACACTGCAAGACACAGAAGAGAATTCAGCACTGCAGATTTGCATCACTGTTTTGCAACTTACACCAAAGACACAGAAGCCTGTTTTAAATTCATGGGGGCACATTCATCTGTCCCTCAGCTGCTCCAAATCCATTTAACCAGGAACAATTAAGTGGTTTAGAAACAGCAGCACAAGCTGCACATGGCAATTACTCCACAAGTCTTCACAACATGTACTCGGGGAGCAGGAGGTAATTGCAAATTCATTCCTTTTTTGCTGTTTTCCTTCGCTTGACTTTTCCACGATACACAGCAGCGTCCTGCTACGTGTTAATGGTTATGAAATTTAAAATCTCTCAAACTATCTTTTACTCCTGTTTGCTTGGATCTGTCTTGATGTGAAAACAGCACAAGGCTGGATTTGCTTTGCAAGCTGCTGTGCAGGGTCTGCTGGCAGGTGCAGGGGCCGCAGCCCAAGGTCCTGAAGCTCTGCCATCCCACAGACGGTGGCAGATTCTTCCCCCCTCAGTGGCAGTCCACAGGCAGCACCCGCCGTTATGCCTGAAAGCAAAACCACCCTTTCCACACCCCAGCCTGCCCTGGCATCCTGGAGGTGAGCTGGTATAGATGGTTTGCAAGGTGGATGTTTCTCCAAGCGGTAAGAAGGCTCTCCACAGCTCAGCATGCTTTGCCACTGCATTTTCTGCATCTGTTCTTTAACAGTGGAAGAAACTGCAAATTCAGACACCAAGTCAGCTATGGTTCCTGTGACTAAAACAAAAGAACAATGTTGAAAAGCCTGGCAGTACTCAGGTAGCCGTGCTGGAAGTAGGAACACACTGTAAAGCTGATTTTCTTTTGGAATTCAATTTATTTCCTTGGCTTCACAGGATAATGAGTCCAACTATAGTTACAAAGATCCACAATGTGATAAACCATTAATGGTCCAGGTTGTTGTGGTGCTTATCTTCCAGCAGCTCTCGTTTCTCCTTTTCTAACCTCCACAACGCTCCCATACCTGCACCTCAGGGCTCTTCAAACAGCTTTTCTGGAAGAGAATCAGACTGTAATATATCAGAGGCAAACTGGAAAGACTTCGAATAACAGGGCCAAGACATGGGCACTAAGAAGAGGGAGTCACAGACCCCATCACATAAGCAGTGACTGCCGTATGGTAAGTCAGAGATGACGTAAGCAGTTCTGAAAGAGAGGAAAGACAAAAAGCCTGCCAAAACCAGAGCTGGATGGGACTGCAGCTTCTGAGCTGAACAGAGACAAGCTTTCCAGCCTTATTCATGCTGCCCAAGCCTTACCATCTCTTACTCTGCAACAGTGTGACAAGTTAAAAAGAAAAATCTTAATCAGTCCTACATTCTGTACCCCATAAACTCCTGAAAATACCTTTTTAATCATTTTTGACTTTCATCAGCTTCTGGCACATAGCATTCTGTGCCCGGGGTCCACAAAACACAGAGTTGAATGGCCCTATCTTAAAAAAAAAAAATAAAAATCCAAGGCTGTTTGTTAAACAGG